CCCCGCGGCCCGCCAGGGCCTCTGCCGGGCCCCGGCCCCGGCCCCGAGGGGCTCGGCGAGGCAGGAGAGGCGATACGGGGCTTTCACACATGCAGCGGCACTGTGATTTTTGAGTGACATTCATACTCTGTGAAAAAAAGAAAAAACTTAGTGTCTTTGGCAAGTCCATACCCACCAGAGAGGCCCCACTCAGGTCTGTTCTCCTACTGAGCCTTGGGCATCTTCCCCAGGCCCCCACCCCGTCTCCCCCACTGCTGGGTGGCACTTTGAGGTAGAAAAGGGCATTTTCCTAAAGCAACAAGGACCAAACGCTGCTGGTGCTGCAGGCCTAGGCTTCTGGGAGCGCTCCCCGGAGCAGCTCCGGTAGCTGGGAGTCTGCATGTACCCAGCGTACAGGGTCCTGGAGCGGAGCAGAAGTTTCCGCCCGAAGGTGCAGAGAAAGTACTTCTTCTCCCAACCTGCAGATATTCGGAAAGTGATTATCAGCCGTATTTCAGACCCTGTGGGATCCCAGGGCAGAAGCCAAACCCAGATGTGCATCCAATTTTCACAGATGGTTTTCTCTCCTTTTTCACAGGCCAGACCAAAACCTCAGTTCTGCGTAGTCCAGCTCTCAGACGTTTGAAATCTGGGGCCCGTGTTGGCTCTGAATTGCGCAGTTTTGTCCCTTTGAGTCACAAGGCGGTGCGGGGTTGGCAAAAGAGGGAGGTGGAAAAAGCTTGCATATTGTTTCACCAAAAGTCGGTTACGCTAAGTCAGGAAACCATAGTCTTCAACAAAGAAAGCCTCGCTGATGCCTCCCCGCACATCTGTAACCATTTGAACACCCACCAAGCATACCCTAAGATTGAAACAGATGCTGATTACACTCGGCAGCACAATGAAAATTTAAAGACAGTTAAATTAGTGGTAAGATCTTTCTAAGAGGCTATGTGAAAACTGGAAGGAAACTCCACCACCCACAAGAGTACTGCTGGCTTCTATTAGGTAGTAGTCACCACTTGATTATTTTTGCACCTTGAGTAGATGTTGCAACTGTTCCTGTAATCTCTTTGGAGGCTTTTATTACTTCAGCGTCTATTCTTAGGTATATTAATCAACTTACTGCCCCAGATAAAGGGACAGATGTAGGGACATATGCTACCTTTGCTGAAATAGTGCTGATTGACAGTAACTGAGCATCTACTTCTAAATTTTCCTAGTGGGATAGAGGTAAAAGATTATTTTCTACATGGCCATCTTTGAGTAGCTATGCCAGAGACCGGTATTCTTCACATAGAGACCAACTTTAAATGTTACCCACAATACCAGCCCCATCAGCAGGGGTTATTCAGGCCAAACTAACTTTATCTCCGCAGAGCCCAGATGCTGGGACACAGCAATGTGTCCTGCTCCTCACTGGGAACAAGAGCTCCAGTGCAGGCTCAGAAGTTACAGGCACCGGGGGAGGCTGGCTTCTCCCCACTGAGAAAAAACAGAAAGAAAAGCAGCAAACCCTTATCTACCTCCCACCATTATCTCAACAGTGTAACTGAATTTCAATGGGCTTTGGACTGAGCTGTGTATTCTCACTGCTAGTGCCAGCCCTAAACACAGCACAGCTAGGTCCATAGAGAAATAGAAAAGTAACTCATAAGCATTTTCTTATACAGGTTAATAGGTATACAGAATATTGTTCATACCAGAATTTTCTGGAGATCAAAATATTTTATGCCACGAACCAGAAAACAAACAGAAAAGCCATTAATATTGTTTAGCCTAACGTGTGGTTATGGTTAGAAAAGTAGCATCTTCTTCAACAGGTCTGCTTCATGTATATTTGTGTTCAGAGTCAGATTTGCTGATTTGCATAAAAATAGATTTTACTCTCATCAGCAGTGAAAAACCTTAACACAGTTTAATGAGAAGAAAACAGATCTTTAAGCTCATTCATCCAAATGGAAAGGGGCCAAGGTATATCTGTTTCAATGAGGACAACAGGTTTGGACAGATGCTAAGGAGACCATCATCTTATCATACCTGAACATGAAAGTTTCATCTTCCTGATCCCACTGGGGTCTCTGGAGCTGGCTGTAGAGATCTGGAAGAAACTATGTAGTTGTACCTAGCATGTTTGATCTGGAAATCACAAATAGACAATAAATACAGGATCTTCCACAACACCATTTTTAGTGTCACTTTTCAGAGAAGAACTACACTTTAACAAGGCTTAAACTGCAGTTTGAATGTTTTCGCAAGTGCTCTGCACAGTTGCCACTTTGCCTTTGGGAATTAGTTAAGATGTGCTTTGCAGAGCACAGAATCACAGGACGAGGCAACAACCCTGTAATAAACACTTGTCCATGCTACAACCAAACTGTTCTCAGCCATGTTTAAAAGAACCACGGTTGTGACTACATGCCATAACAGGGAAGGAACACTGCCTAAAATTATTTTTTAAAAGTTAAGTCCCTTTAGTTACTCACTATCCATAGCAGAGTTTACAAGCTGTAATAGGAAAAGGAACTAAAAAAATCAGAATTTTTACTAACCTTTTACTGTCATTTACTGACAAACCTAGCATAGTGAATATATGCACTCAGAGTCAGCTATGTGCTACAGGAATATGACTAGTTTGCTTCAAAAATAATTAGTTAACAGTGATGCAGAAACAGCTGTCTATATAACAGAAATAGGTTATTTTAATTTTTTTATCAGTACATAAAACTGGAGAAAAAGGACCACTTTTGTTGGGTAGACTGAAAGATACTGATACCACAGGGCTTTCAAACTGTAATGATATGCTTTTGGTGGGACATCAGCTTATTGATTCAGTAATAGTCATATTTCCAGACAGGTATTTATCTTTCCCTGGTTTTTATCCTCACTATTTGTATTGCTGTCCTGGATGTTATGATTGTTATAAATCTATTTTTGCTCCCATGCATCATTATAATCACCAGGTCTATAAATGGCTTTGCTCTTTAAGCCTGTCTGCTATCTGGAAAAAATCACAAGTCCAGACCAGTGAGTTGGTGCTGGCAGGTGAATGCTGTGTAGCTGAGTCATCTCAATATATCAGTGTGATGTTTATTGAGCCCAAGCAACAAACAGTGGGAAGACTGTGGCTTCAGGCTTGGGACTGAAAGTGTACCACACATTGCATTTAGAAAACACTCAGGGCTTCGTCATTAACAGATTTCTGTCAAACTGAGGGGAAGACGAATCTCAAAAAGATCAATTGCCTCTGAAAGCAAACATACTAGTAGCTGCAAGAAGGAAACGATTTGGCATTCTACCATGCTGTTACAACAGTCCCTTCAAAATGAATCTATCTATTGAAATTGTAAGAGCTGATGACCTGAAACATCCTGGGAAAACCTTGAAAATGGAGTCTTAAAGAAACCTGACAGTCTGCAGGCAGTGTAGTGGTGCAGGTAGCAGGTTTCAGATTTTGCTGAAGTTAGTGAAAGCCCCTTCCGGATATTTCCCCATCCTCATTCTCCCATATGACTTAGAAGCCACAGGGAAATAATTTCATTCCAATATATACTGAAGGAATAGAAAAGGTATTTAGCTGATAACGTTGATGTACACCTAAGTGGTTATCTTTGTTTTAAATATGTGGCTTATTTTATCTTGTAAATGGTTTTGCCTCAGTTTCAGATTGAGACCTTGGCTCATTTCTCTTGTAAATCTGAGGCAGATATGAGGTGCTAATAAGCCAAAAGGAAAACCTCACTTCTCCAATCTATGAATCTAGAGAGGCAAAGATGGAGCTTGTCCTATCAAAACAGATCTTAATTTGGATTATAAGATTTGAAGGTTGCAATGAAGGAATTGAAAAATTAGAGTCACAAAATATGTATAAAGTCACCAGCCATAAATACAAACCTCTCCTCAAACTTCAGAACAAAGACGACCGTATGCTCTTTTCCTTGCAGGGCTTGCCTACCTGGGAATTAAGGCAGCTTGGTATAAAAGAGTGCTCTCTCTATATGGACACTCTTAGCTTGTGGATAACATTAACTACTCTCTCCCCTTTCAATATGGATTCATACCACCTCACTTGTCTGAATTTGTGAATTTGTCAAAGTGTGTAAGCAACCTGAACCAGACAGGATGACACTCCTAATTTCAGATGGCTGTAGCTAAAAGAGAGCCTGCCTTGGACATCTGTTATGTGGAGCACTGAGCTGATGCCCTGTGAATTTGCATCCTGGCCTACCTCACAACCTCTCCCATCTATAGGCAAGCAACAGTGCACACAAGGAGTACTGGAGGGTTAGGAACTGAGGAAATGGCTGCTTGATTTAATCATTCCTGCCATGGCCTTGCTGGCCTTGAAATTTGTCCTAACTTGATCTCTCTGGAAAAAGAGGCTTCCTGAAATTCTTCACATCCCTCTGGCACTGCAGAAGTTTTAATGTCTTATGAAAAACTCAGTTGCAATACTCAACTATTTGATAAGAAGGAATACATTGTTCCTGGAATCAACACTTCCAGTTAACACCAATACTCCAAAAGAGACAACGCATACTTTACCGAAAGCTAAGGAAATTGGAACCAAAACAAGACAAGCTTTAGCCAGTAAGATTTTCTGGCTAACAGGTTTTTCTTTTTTG